TTTTCCTTTATTTCAATATATATACCTGTCGTTTACATTGGCATTCTTCATGTACTTAACTGTTTACAATCAATTAATACAGGGTTACTCTGAGCAAATTCTCTCTCCCCTCTTTCCTATCTTATCCTCCCTTCTTTCCTATCCTATCCTATCCTATTCTCCCCTATTTCCTACCCTATCCTGTCCTACCCTATCCTCTCCTCTCCTATCCTATCCTATCCTCCCCTATCCTATCCTATCAAATCCTCCCCTATCCTGTCCTATCCTATCCTCCCCTATTTCCGATCCTATCCTATCCTATCCTATCCCCCCCTATCCTACCCTATCAAATCCTCCCCTATCCTGTCCTATCCTATCCTCCCCTATTTCCGATCCTATCCTATCCTATCCTATCCCCCCCTATTTCCTATCCTACCCTATCCTATCCTCCCCTATTTCCTATCCTATCCTATCCTATCCTATCCTCCCCTATTTTCCGTTTTCATTCATATACTCAATGCATTGCTACATATTTCGTTCTCAAATGTTATAGTCATAAAACAGGTGGTCCTCAAATCTTGTATGTATTTCTCCCACTGGATGTGGATCTACATAACTTGTTTCCAAATCCAATTTCAACAGTTGTGTATTGCTTTACATCATACTGTAAATGAAAAAAAAAGATTGTTTGTTTATATTATATTATTATTCCTTTTGTAGCGAAAATGTGTAAATGTTCGTTATGATGGGTTTACGCTGCACTGCTGCATAATTAAGGATTGATCTGTCACCCAGATTGCATTCATATTGGCTGTAATTGCAATCTGACAGACGTTCAATCGTTATATTTACATTTCCTCATACGACCTGTCTTTTATTAATTAGTCGGATGGGCTTAATTTATATTTCCTGCTGCCGCAAAACCTCACTAGTCCAATTCTTGGAACAGCCGCAGACGGCCATTATCGGAACGAACACTTTCCAAACAACGGTCGCCATTAAAAAATGTAACGAGGCGACAAATGTTAAATGCAGTTAAATGCTCTAATTCTATGTGCAGAATATTCTAATCCAAAAGTAAGAACTTGCCTCCCTATTCTGGATGTCTTCATTGTCTGCAAAACCCGTAAAAAAAAGACAACAACAAAATGGCGGCTATCGTATCGGTGGGAGTGGTTGCTAACACTGACGTCACGGAAACCATGGTCATGTGACCAGATAATGCAGACTGCAGTTACTGCCCAGTAACTGAAGGCTGACTTTCCATAGAGTTAATGGAAAATGGGGAGGGCATATGTAAATGTCTCAGTACAATGGAGACATTAACCTTCACTCCTTTGACCTTCAATACCACAGATGGGTCATAAGGTAGAAATGACCATGTGGTACAGTAAAGTCTTTATATGTACTTCATTGAGCTAAATACCTACATTGACCAACTACATGTATATATCTAAAGCTTTTTTATATTTTTTTTCTTCTTTTTTTTTCCAAGAAAACAAATCTTTTGCATGAGCATCCCATTTTTGGTTGATTCAAATCGTGTAAGTTCGCATTATAAGTTAGTTATTCTTCTTTATCATCCAAAACATACTTTTGTGTGTAAGATTGTCTTACAGAGTAGCATGACTCTGAAATATTTTTATGGAAACGTTTTTCAATTTCCTCTCATTTGATTGATATTTTTTTTACATCACATAAATTTATGATATGTTAGAATATTCCTATTAGTATTTTCTGGTAGTTACATATGTCATTCGCGGTTTAGTGACATGAACATCTTGGCACTTCAGGTATAATTTATACCACATCTTTGGAGATATGGATGAAGTGGGTCATACACAACAGAGCCTACGATGTTTGCTGTTTATGACACTACAAAATTGATCCTTTTCTAAATCAGGGTGAATTATGATAATTTTTCATTTAACATCAAAACAGTTTAAGTTATTATACCATTTAGGTATAGAACCAATGACAAAGCCTTGCTCTCAAAACTTAAGTAAAATTGAATTTATTTTGGTGTATTTTCTTATGCTTTTCGTGTGTCGTCAAACATTTGGAAATGTGTTACACATTATCTGTTAGCATCATCATTTTGAAACTAAAATAAAATATAGCTATATATCACTTTAGCGGAGGGTGCTTAACTGATTTTAAGATTGAAATGATATGGAAAATTACTATGCATCATCAGAGAAAAAGAAGAAGATAAAATGAGTATATATAATGTCATATGAATTCTTAAGTGGGTGTTCGCTTGTAACACGAGGGTCTCACCTAAGTGTTATTAGTTTAGTGTACATTGTAGTTTTTGTAGTTTGATAGAACCATTTATAGCATAGAAGTACTGTTACTGTAGTAATAATAAAAAGTGATAGTACTTAGTTTTGTTAAAATAGTACAATCGTTAAAACATGCCGTCAACTTAATTACCCACTCAAAGTGCGTCATATTAAGATAAATGACGTCAATTAAATGTAACTGTCCACGTGATAATGTACTTTAAAGATGTACTCTTCTGAGGTTTATATCACGTTCAAGTCTAGTTTTTATCTCGTGTAACTGGTTTTTGTAATGTTTAACGAATTTGATCAATTTTAAAAGCAAACAGTGATCTGAATAATGGGTAAAAATACAAATACCTGTTTTTGTAGAAGTTTTTTCTATGATTTTTTAAAAAAATGACCAATTCGGCTGCCATTTTTAAAATGTGTTAACGTCAGTGAAGGCAAATTCGTCACATTAGTAAGGGTTTCTGTTAATAATTCGACCAAATAGGCATGTATCAAAATACCGACGAGCACCAATACAGAAGATTCGACTGAAATGCCTATAAATAAACATTGTTGTAAACACGCCTGAATGACGTCACGCAACAACATTTGTGACGTCATCAGGCCTTCCGTGGTTTTGCTCAAAGGTGCAGGCAGTTTCGCCACCTTCAAACATTTAACTAATTTACAAGTAATCTAAGTGTTTAAATGTTAAAAAAAAAATGTTTATGTAACACAAGCTGTACTGATACGAACAGATTCAAATGTGTGTGTGTAACAATGATTAACATTGAAATACATGGCTTTTCTTAGTTGTGATAGTTAACGTTAGTTTTCGGTAACTTTAAGAAACTGATTAATGTTGTTTAAGAAAGATGACGGGTATCGGCTGAGATGATGTCAATTTACATGATACGCAATAAAGACTCAGTNTTCCGGGAAACATCTGACAAATTAAACCGATTTTCTTGGGCTTGAAATTTTAATTCAACAAAGACTGCCCGGCCAGTTGTTGTAAATGTACTTACTTTTTCATGTAAAAATCAGTCTTTGGTAACTGTCGGTCTCTATGTACAATCAGCATGCGATTGTATAGCAGCACTTTCAGGCCGACAACAAATTCCTTTAAGATAAATCTAGAAGATTTCTAGATAATATTTCAATTTAAGTGTTGTAAGATTGTTAAACGTAAGACGCAAACAATACTTTTAAAAAGATACTGGTTGATTGTATTCTAAATACACATTGCGGCATGAAAATGGAAACTGACGAATTATCAAATCGCGGATCTTTCCGATCGTCATTTCCATAAACTCGCAGTGGATCGTCAGTACATTGTAACCAAAGTACACTTGTAGAAAAAAAAACACAATTTACTTGCATTAACTGCAATTAGCGTTAAGATATCGGTATTTTCATGTGTTTGTAATAAATTTACACTAAATAACTACCAACTGGCCTCAGATTAATGAGTTTAGTTGACGAGATGTCCGTCGCACAGACATTTTTTTTTTAGAAACACCCAGTCCTTCAACAAAAATCACGCGCTCCAAGTCAATATCGGTTTTTATCGGTGGACACGTGATTCACTTTTGGCCAATCACTTGTCGGGAATAATATGAAAAATAATAATATTCAATTATAGCCTTTGGCTGAGGTCGACACCTGGATTTATCAACTGCGTCCTCTGTCAATACATCTTTTCTCGGGTCGATAAATCCAGCGTCCTCTGTTAATATATCTTTTCTCGGGTTGATAAATCCAGGTGTCGACCTCAGCCAAAGACTATAATTGAATAGTATGGAAACTTACACATTATTAAGTAACGCTGCATAATGAAACACTCCGTCAGTGTGATAATTTGTTCAAATTAATACAATTAAGTCTTACTTCACCGGTGAAATGTAATGAAAATGTTTGGTCTGTTACGGAGGAAACACATCAACTAGCTAGGGTTTATATATTTTACCGTAAAACTAATATTTCACGGGTAAAATACATATTAAAAAATGTTATTTGTCACTGTAGAAATTATATCAAATATTTAAAAATTTATATAAGTATTACTTTCGATTTCTTCGATAAAACTAAAAAATAAAATTCATTATCAAAGAGAGTACGCTTCAATATGATTTATCATTACTAAAATTTGAACATCTATTTAAATACATATGTAGAGGGCATGCGTCACATTCTTGTTCAACAATTATGAAACAAGACGTAGATCTATACATTTTCATAAATCAGTCTTGTTGGTCCAGATAGAAATTCGCAGAGGGACCCATAAAATGTTATGGACGATTAAGAAAAGTGTAAAGATTCAACTATACCTAGACCAGGGACGTATAGTGAATATATATACTGTCCCTGACCTAGACATACTGTGATAAAAGAAAAATCACATCTATAACTTATTAAACGTTTACATACTGGTATTTACATGCACACTGTATATAAATGTATACACGCATGTTTGATACAACAGTTAACGTAATAATAATATTTTAATATGAAAGTATAGATAATATATCTCGGAGCTTATTTGAATTAATGAAAATTTAGTTGTGCGTCACTTGAAAGTGACAAATTACAACAGTTATTGTTACAGTGGTGAAAATCTAAACGATTTGGAACGGATTTTTTTTCACATACAAGAATTCTGTCATATCCTTCTATGATTCGTGTACATATATATAGGCATATCCTAGTCATTCGCAATGTATTTCACGACTACTTTATTTTCAGTGTGATTCATAGACGCTTGAATAAGGCGGGGTTCATAGTTCATCGCCCTCAGTACTCTGTAATGCTGCGACCTGTAGCGCTCTTCAGTGGAAGAAGGTAAGGAATTTCGTAAATAATTTCAAATATGGCAGCCACACATCAGACGGGTTGAAGTACGCTATCGACGAACGAGAAAAAAGGGTTAGTTCTGCGTTAATGCGATAAAATTAAATTACATATCAATCTGTCTTGTGATCCTAATGCTGTTAAATACCACTGGGTAACAAATCCTCGCCGTACGTATGCTGTCAATAGCACGCGAGCTGGACGGGGATGAAAAAAATCAATGACCTAGTTTTGAGTGAGCTCATGTGACCTTGGCCTACTGTTGTGGCGAGTGGTAGGCACCAGGCGAGACTAGCCACTGAGAATTAACTGTTCGTTGGATGGTATGCTGGGACGGTGAGAAGGTGCACATTTGAAGGTACATATACACACACGTGTTAATTTGTTTGTACACTTTCTAAACACGACTTCGGCAACCTGTTGACGGTGCCACCGTGTGTATTGCATCCGTGCATGTGAAGAACGTTGTGTGTAGTATCGAACAGCTGATTCTAGGTTCATGAAGAACAGTCGTGTCTGGATGATAATGTGTTTAGCATTTTAGTTTTTTTTTAGAGAGTTAGACACCACTACATGTGCTTGTATTTAATTTGTTGGGATGACATATTAAAATCAGAATCATAGTTTTCACAACACGTAATTATATTCCCGATAAAACAGTCCGTTACAGCAAAAAATCGGATTTTAGTACAAATTATTTTGAGGTCAAACTTCTTTTTCATGTTAATGATATATTTTTGGCATATATCCACATATACAATTTTACTGTCTATGGCCTTAGGGGAATGAAAGGGCTTTACATAAGTTGTGTTCAAAGTCTTTTAAGAGGAAATTTCTAGCAGAAATGAAAAAAAGTCACTGATATGAATTGATTTCATTACAGCCTGCTTCATCTCACTAATTGGAAAAAAGTAATGACCCTCTAACTCTGAAGGGACCTATAGTAGCGATTTTTTATGTAGGTCAAATTGACAGAGACCTGGAAAAAAAAAATCATGTGATGATCATGATGTAACAAGCTGTCTGGGGATGTATACACTAACCAAGAGTGAAATGATATTGTGAAGTATTGGTTTTCATCAGGCTTGATAGTAGGATGTAGAAAATAGGAAAAGAGATCAACAACAACAAAAAAATACATTATAAGCCATGTGATATATATTGGTAAGTATTGAAGTCCTGTCGTAAACAAAATGGGAACATCTTAGTGTATTATCTGTCATTCTTTTGGTTTCTTTTATAAAGTTTCAAGATATATATAATCAACGCACAATGAAGATGTTTTGTTTTGATTTCATCATATATATATATAAATGCCTAACGGTGTAAGATGTCATATAAAAGTAATCGGCATTGAATAAATTCTCCTGTGAATCAAATGATAGTGTATTATTTTACCGGATTGGATAAATTTCTGCTTACTAGGTAAGTAAGTGTTTGTCAACTTATATGCCCTTTCCAAACAATAAGATTAGGCAACTTAATTTTTTTTCCAGCTTTTTTCATATAAACTAAATAAAATTATATGCTTTTAATTCCTCCTTTGGTTGAAATTGGACAGTTAATTCCTTTCTAAGTTTTCTGACAGATGATTGATTTTCAAGGTAGTGAGTTGAATGTTGACATTGACAGGTTAGTGTATAATTGACTGTTTATTCTCCAATAGATAGCCAGATAAAAGTTCATGAATAGCATGCTCTTTTTTTTAATAAAATCTCATTTTGGAGAAATACTCATTGCTTCCCTTAAACCTTTTTTTTACGTTAACCAGAGCATTCAAAGTTTTTTCTTTTTCAATTTGACACTGATTGGAACATTAGTTCAGTGACTGGTTTCAACTTTTTTAACTTTGGAGAACAAAATGTTCCAGGACTAGACTATAAGGGTAGCTTGCTAGTCTGAGAATACGGTAGTGAAAGCTCCAGCTGTACTAGTGGTTCTAAAAACTGCTAACCAATATAAAAAAATATGTGATATTAGTTAAAATGATCATCAGTTATCATGAGTTAGTGGGAATTTGAAAATTAATTTCTAGCCCTTAGACATGTATGTCCTTTTTAGAATGTATACATACATACTTTTAAAGGAAATCAATAATTAATTAAATTATAGTAAGAGAAGAAATTGAAAATGTTTAATGTTAGTATATAGAAGTATTTTGCTCTAATTTGTATTTTAAGGTGAAATGTTTGCAAATTTTTTGTCATCTTGATGATTTTTACAAGGCCAATGTTAAGATAAGGTTCTTCCGATGTAAATTCTTTATTTGAGTTCAAATTGAACACAATTCATGCACCCTTGCCCCCAATTTAATTTAAAAACAAATAAGAAAAATTCCACTTTCAAATGCAATGAACCATTTGAAGTTGTTGAAATGTTATTATGCACTGCACATTAATTTTTGGAACACTGACGTTTGAGTTTTTATTCCCCCCAGTCAAATATGATTATTATATATACATGTATATTATATTATACTGATAAGTATAGCTTTGGACTCTTTATTTTGCTTTTGCTGTAGTACTGACCATCATTTTGAAAACCCATTTATATGTTTTTGTCATGGAATTCATCACCATTTTCAAGTTTTTATATCTAGGACCTACCCACTCCAAAAAAAGGCCAAGTACAATGTGTAGATTATAAGTAACGTGAAAATTAAATGGAATGGTTAAAATAGAAGTGATTGTTGTCTGGTGTAAATGATCACTTTTAGCCATTAGTAAACCTGTCTCACCATTTTAGCATATAATTATAATTAAAGATACAACTTCTGCAGAGTTTCGTTATAAATATTCCCAATTTCTATGAAGTTTTGCTAAACTTGCATACAGAAAAAGTTGGCTTGCTACTTTTTTTTTCTTTCAGATTTTCTGATATCAAACCCCCCTTCCCATCACACAAACTCACACCAATTTCTGATTGGCTGACAATTTACAAGCTCATGATGATAATCTGAAAGAAGAAAAATTACATGTCCATGACAGTATTTTTTCCCTTTAAAATACTACAGCATGTCAGGTTTGATTAATGAAAGTTCATGTATTGAATCTCCAATGACTGCTTTAGTTCACACTTCGAGATAATAGTCCTCCATGCATTCACATCTAGCTAACACCTTTTATTATTTGTACTGTAAAGATAAATCGTTCTTCCTCTAAAAACAATCAGACAGTCATGGAGATATGTTGTGATTAACTTGATTACTTCTTTTGTTTGATCAAAATTAAAAGAATTAAACTTATGCTTCTTCAATCTTGGCTAGAACATTTTGAAACTATATACCGGTATATATGCATGTAAAAATTGACAATGAAAAAGTATCTTACAATGAATGAATCATTAAGAGTCTTTTAAAATTCTACATTTTAAAATTCTATTAATATTCTAAATTTTAAAATTCTATTAAAATTCTAAATTCTGTTAAAATTCTAAATTTCTAAATTCTAAGACTGTGCAACTGCAAGTGATATAAAGGACAAAAAAAATATGTTTGTTTCAGGAAATATGCCTGCTAAAAAAGGGTAGGTCGGTAGGCAAATAATTTTATTTTTAGTGTTAATTTTTCATTTTCGTGATTTCTTTTTTGCCTTAATAATTATTGTAACAAGCAATTATTTTGCCATTGTTATGGTCAAATTTAGTAGGTATGTTCTTCAGGTGTTTAACAATCTTGGATGGTATTCCAATTTTCAAATCGATTTTTAAATGCAAAATTTCCACCTATTTTGATTAAACTTAGCTATACTTCTTGAATAATATTTGTATCGTAGGTTAGAATGCTGTTATCAAATCACTCTTTTTTCGAGTTGTGAAAAGGGTATTAAATATAAATGAGATGTTCTGACAAGAGATGAATGAGTTGTATTTACCTACTTGCAGAACTACATGATAAATTGACCCATAAGAATAAAATGTGTCCTGTTATGATATATCTAAAACAGAAGCTGGGGTCAGTTATCAAATGTTAAATGTTTCCTAATGTTTATGAATCATCATATTGTGAATTATGTTATTTTGTAAAAAAAAAAAAGGTCAAATTGTTGAGCCATTATATTTGTTGATCACTTAATTTGTAAAATGATTTATTACATACATTTAACTCATTCACCTCTGAAGACACATTTGAACTCTTCCAATTCAAAGGTTGGAATAGTTCATAATGAAATTTCAGGGGTGAATGAGTTAAGAGGCTCAGGCAGACTTCACAAGTTAACTTACTCAAATAAGTCCCAGTTTTCCTTCACTTCTCTAGGTTTTTAGTTAAATTCCAAGAGTGAATGACATTTACCAGTTTTCAAGGTCACATGGGAAATGTGTTAAAATATTTAAAACATTTTCTTCTAAACGGCCAAGAGGACAAGGGCTGGTCAGATACCTGGTACTTGCTGGAATGAAGGGCATTTTTGTTCTCGAATAAATGACTGACCCACTCTGAAAGTCATTTGGGTCTAATTACTTTAAATCTTAACTGACTTCTTCTGATTAACCTAGAGACTAGGATGAAGATGTTTGGTCATAAGCTAGGATGCTTGGATGAAGGGCAATCAAGTTTGTTAAAATGAATGACCTTGACCATTTTCAAGGTAACGGGTCAAATCTGTTAAAACTTAAAAGAACCATTTTCTGAATGACCAAGAGGCAAATATAGGGTACATATGTTTGACCGGTAGCATATATGGGGGTGAAGGGCTATCAACTTTGTTCAAATAAATGACCTTGCCCCACTTTCAAGGTCACTTTGGTAAAATGTGTAAATTATTTATTCAAATTCTTTTGTATGTTTGTTTTCAGATAACATGACTGAAAAAAATAGGATGGATGGGTCAGAATTTATTTTAATTTAAAAAAAAATTTAGGAGCACTTGGGGGTGTCTATTTTTTTTTTTTTATATAAAAGTCACCAAACAAATTTTTAAGACTTTTAAATAACAATATGGGATTAAACTTTTGTTTTGATAACTGCCTATGAAGTAGAGAAGGTATATATATATATATATATATATATAGTTGCTTTGTTCGTTTGTCCTTCAATTTGTTTGCATCCGTTGACAAGTTATCCCAACACGGCATAGAGTGCATTTGAGCGAGGATTCTTAGGGTAGGCGGTAAACACTAGGGTCAGTGGGGTACCTGAAACATACATATTTTGTTTTTTGGCCTTAGTGCTATTACAGTGCAACTAATGGTTACAGTGAAGTACATTACGTCTCTGGTAGAAATTTGTGCCTGCTACTTCATTTAAATATTAATGTGAGTTAACATACTTTCAGCAATCTGCCGATCTGGAATCATGGCACCATCAGCTGATTACTCACAGTGGCCATGCTATTAATTTGAATAATTCCGACGAATGGTACGGAACCCGTAAATGTGTAGAAATACAATACACATAAATCGCAGATTTTAATGTTGAATGTCACTCCCCTTAATATTTAACCTTGTTCAAGTTGATGTGCACTGCAACACGCATGAATATTTAATAGCTGGCAGGTGTGCACAGTGTACTTTAACAATAGTAATTATTCCCTCCCTCCCAATGTGAAACCTAGCTCATCACACACTGATTGTCAGTATTAATGAAACAATTTTACTTGGGACCTATTTTGTTCGTCGGGCAATTCTGTTTTTGAGCGATGACACACCATCTATTGACTATTGTCTGTCTATTAAATTTATTTTCATTAAAACTCACAAATCTTTTGATTGCCGTGAACAAGTGTGATCCTTAAATTCACATATAATCAGGAATTAACAATTGTGTTGGCTGGGTATACATAATTGCAATGTCTTATTTCTACAAGTAAAATTCTTGGAATATATATACCGTTGGTAAAACATTTCATTTTACAAAGAAGTTCCCTTTTCAGCCCACCATCATCTGATGGTTGGCTATTCAAATCACCCTGCGGTCGTGGTCTGTCCGTGGTCCTTCCTTAAACAATTCTTGTTATCAGTATTTCTCAAGAAGAACTAGAGGGATCTTTCTCAAATTTTATATGTAGGTTCCCTTTGGTCCTTAGCTGTGCAGGGCAACTTTTGAGACTGATCGGATAAATAACATGGCCAACAGGCAGCCATCTTGGATATTGATAGTGAAAGTTTGTTATCGCTATTTCTCCGAATGAACTAAAGGGATCTTTTTAAAATTTTATATTTAGGTTCCCCTTAGTCCTAGCTGTGCAGTCATATTTTGAGACTGATCATAAAAACAAAATGGATTAAAAGAAGAACTAAACAGATCTTTCTCATATTGCAATGATCGATTCTATTTCTTTCACATTATGTACTGTACTAGTAAATATGTGAAATGACAAACTCACTTTGAAGGTTGGCTTTCATACACATCAGTATTAAGTTTAGATCAAAAGTTACCTCAAGGTGCATTTACTGTTAACATGACTCGATCAAACAGATTAGATGAAAGAAGAGGAAAGATCGAACTGACAAAGAACTAATGAAGATGATACAAAGGTGGGCGCCAATATCCCTCTTGTTATAAGTATTGGTTTTATTTTTTATTTTTTTATTTTTTTTTATGTCTCCTCAGTATATTTTCATTCTGCATTAAATTTAGAATGGATCCATGGTTAGTAACTAGGTAGCTAAATTGGTAGAGATTCTGTCTCGAGTTTTGAGTGTCCTGGGTTCGAACATTGGTCTGGCCCTGCTTTTTACCACTCCTGTTACATTTGGCACACAGCGAAGTATACCCAGGGAAGGTGGTATAGGGTCTAGTGTGTCTTCAGGATCAAAGCAGGATCGTTGCTTGCAGGGTAGTGTCTTTGATTACAATTTCTTTATATTGAAAAATATTTAATGATATTGAGATATAAACATGTTTTACATCTTTGCAGGTCAAGCCATGTCAATAATGTTACCAAGATGACGGCAGAGCACCAGCGTGTGCAGGCCGAGGGATATGGAGACTCGGTCATTACACAGATGAAAAACCTCCGCACTAATAATGAGCTGTGTGACTTCAAGGTGTCTGCGGAGGGACGGACATTTGATGTAAGTACACCTGGTCAGTCTAATAATGCTTAAGGTAATGCCATAAACTGTGAGCTGTGGATTAATGCTAGAGTGTGAAATACCTCCAGTGTTCTCCCCAGGCTGTTTTTGCAGCATGGCACCATGCTCCTATAATTTCTTGCCATACTGCTATCCTAGATCTTCTCTGCTATATATTCATGGTAAATCTAAAGTTACCATGTTGCTTTCATTTTAAATAGAGTGCTGCTTTAACAGAAATATTGAAATACCATGCTTCTTTCAAAACATTCTGGGGAGAACACTGACTCCTTTGGGCAAAGATGTCAATCTCTGAAACCTCCAATGAGAAAGATTTCCCTCATTCGAGCCGGGTGAACTTATATGCCGTGGCGCGGTTCCTTTGTCCATTCGTCTGCGGCATCAATATTTTATTTTTAACAACTTCTTCTTAAAGGGACATCACGTGAAAAGGCGTTTTTTTTTTAATGAATGTATGTATTGTATGCACTTCCACTTATGTTACCTCGCTATCCCCATATTCATAGTCCGTTCCAAATGTCCAGTTTGACCACTTGAATTGTTCGGGAAAGCCCTGCTAAAAATAGCGCCGATAACGTCACCTGACTAGGCAGTAAACACAAGTGGTGTGGGCGAGATGAAACGGTTTCCAAAGGGGCCCCCAGAGNTAAGGTCACAGGGGTTGATTGTCTAAAAAAACCTTTAAACAACTTCTGAATAACCATGAGGCCTACAATGCTCATATTTGGCCAGTAGCATGCTTGGATGAAAGGCTAACAAGTCATTTGAATGACTTTGACCTTCTTTCAAGGTTACAAATCTCAATAAACAAAAGGTCTAGGGTGGTGATATTTGGCAAGTTGCATGCTGAGATGAAGGGCTATGAAGTTTGTTCAATGTATTTTATAATGACCTTATTCGACTTTCAAGGTCACAGGGTCAAATGTCTTAAAATCTTTCACAGGTTCTTTTGAATGACTTATAGTCATAAATACTGATATTTTGCCTGCAGCTTTAGTTTAGATCACTTTTAAGGTTATAAGTGTGGGATTAATACCAGGTAAGCGATGCAGGCCCATTGGACCTCTTGTTCATCATGGCAGAATATTGGGAGAAAATGTTTACGGTAAATCTCCGATCAGATAGAACAAAATTGAATAGATATTGTCAATCTTGTTGGAATGACACGAAATTAGAGCCACTAAAATAAAGTGTAATTCCAACTATCTGAGACGACATCAGCAAAAATCATGGCAAACAGTCAAGTCGTTGATACAGAACAACGACATAAGCAAAAATCATGGCAAACTGTCAAGTCGTTGATACAGAACAATGACATCAGCAAAAATCATGGCAAACAGTCAAGTCGTTGATACAGAACAACGACTATCTATTGCAATATATATATATATATTTGCAAATCTGGAGATAAATAATGGTAAATAATATATATATCTTTCTTATATATATATATTTACTTACATACATATTAATATTTTTTTACTAAGTTCAATCGCAAAGCAGAGACAAGTATGTAGGTCGCATCAGAATGCGGAGGAGGGGTGGATTGAAACTACAATAACAGATTGATAGGTCACCTGGTCAAATATTTCTGTTTTGGCATTGGTATCATCAAATAATAAATCAGGGATTGGTGGCCAGGTCATGATTATATAATATGATATATATTAATATGAGAACTCATTGCCCAGGATTCTTGGACATTTTGTAAAGAATTATTGTGGGTACACACACAGTCCTTCACGTCTCTAAGGCCATAATAAATTATTTGCTAGATTCTCATCCCCGCCCGCCCCCTCTTTGAGGCCCCGCCCCAATTTTTTTTATTTGCGAATCAAAAACGAAAATACGAAATCCGGATTTTTTCCCGTTTTCCGCTTCAAAAATTAGTTTTATAATATCAAATTCCGGTTGTAGAAAACTCGTCGTCTGCAAGTATGGTTTTTGTAATTCTAAAGCTGAAACGGCAACTTGCCGTTCTTAAAGATTGGTATGGGTGTTCAGTAGCCGATACTAAAACAAGTATTTTGCTACTGAACAAGTCTTTCATGAATTAGCCGAAGGAAAATTGACAAATCTGCGCCCGTCGAGTGTGGCATCGTCGGATACCCACGGTTGATTTCGCTTACCGAAGCGAAATCAACCGTGGGTATCCAACGATGCGAGTGTGGTAACAGGGCCGTTGTGTCGGCCGGTAAATCGAAAGTGGAACTGACCCAGTGTGATGGCGCATGTACGGTGGGGGAAATGGTGTCGTACCTCGGAGCTTATTTAGAATTTAATATTGATGCTGATACAGAAGAGCAGTCGGTAACTGCCAGTGCGAAATCTGACGCATTTACAATTTTAATGTCGGGATTTTCTAAAGCAACGCATCTACCGGCAAAGCATGGGAACGTCGTAAATGACAAACTGAGAATGTACAATGATATAATCGACTGGTTACACGATCAGAAAGTTGGATTTATCAGTACAAATACGGAAACAATTCCATTCTTTTCTTTCCTCACACTGCAAAATCAGGCATTATATGTTCTGTGTCTAAAAGTGTGGGAAGGCAACCTGAACTCTTTGTAAACGACCAAACTTACCTGCAGATACTTTTGAAGGTCTTCACTTTCTGCCAGACCCAGAACCTGATACTGGTGACAAGTACAAGTCCTTTGATCAGTTATATGGACACGAAACTAGTGAAAAGCACAGGCCCTCACTAGGACACAAGCCAGGTCCTGGGCATGGTATGCCATTCTCACCCACCCCCCGAACTGCTAAAAATGTTGAAATGGTGATATACTGTTCTGAATGTGACAAGCCTCGTGTTCTCTACTGCAAGCATGTTGTAAGAGGAAAGAAAAGAAAGGAATTGCAAACTATGTTGGGCGATTTGTCGTACACGTGTGGTTCTGATTTTGCTGATGTAGAAACCAAACAAGAAAATGTGTTAAAATCAGTGTTTGGAAGAAAAAATCTGACATGTGATGGGCCAGTTGAACTGGCCTATTTCTCTGCTGGTTTCGAAGCAGTATGCTTCCAATGTGGCACAGATGACAATGTGGCTACATCTGAGGAAAACTACCCCATATGCCAGAACTGTTTGGCCAATGCCAAGGTCACTGTAATTAAAAGAGGACGATATGTGAAAAAGTAATGTGGTGTGCATTCATACCAAAAGTTAGTACCGATATATATGTGGACTGAACAGTGAAATGGTGTTCAATGTGTATACTGCATACTCAAAGTTGTTATTAACAAAAAATAAAGATAAATGTACACCGAACATGCGCCTTTATTGCACTATTTTAACACATTTGCAACCATTTCAAATTTTAGGAAAAATAAAAAATAAAAAATAAAATTTGCCCCCCCCGCCCCAGTTTTGAAAAGAATTTGGATGAGAATCTAGCAATTAATTTATTATGGCCTAAAACGACATATAGGCTAATGAAAAAGAAAATGTGAAAAATGGGGTTATAATATGTTGAAATTGGACACTAGAATGGTATGTTTTAGAGCCTTAAATGCTTTAGCAAAATAAATTAGCCTTTTTTTTTTTTCTTAAATTCGGTAAAAACAATATGAATAATTAGAAAATATCAACTCATTTAATCAATTGAGATTTTTATTTTATGGCACAATTTAATTCCTTTTCCTACTCGTAAAGGTCTTAATATTTATGCTTAGTATATGACAGAAAATAAAAATAAAATCTAGGAAAAAAAAGTTTTTCAACTAGAGAGAGGTTAATTTAGATGTTTCCAAATTTCACAGGAAAATGACGTAATCTGATTGAAGAAAATGAAGTTGTAAGAAAAATGACTGAGTCATGACTCTGTTCAATCTTTCACTAACACTGAAATTCCTAACCTAGGCTCCTCTAGATCTCTGAGCTGTTATTTTTTCACGCTCTAGAAACCAGACTTCCATTCTGTCTTAACTTAATCTTCATATGACAAACGAACGCAGCGAACGGTCAAGAAGCAAATTTAATAAAAGCATACTATAAATTGGTCTTGTTGTTTAACTACCATCAAGACAATTGCATCAAAGCATACTTAAAAGCAAAGTGTCTGCATCGAGACAGACTTCCACTCTTAAGTACCTATAATTGGTCATAATCTAAACCTTCCTACTGACTTCCGAAGGCGTCTACAGAAGGAGCGTCTACGGAGGGACAGACATTTGATGTAAATGCATTGGAATGGTTGACCTGTTGTTGATGTCCCCCTAGACAAATGCAATGGACTTTCTAAGGTATTTGTGAAAGCAAAAGGACAAACAGCTAATATGGTGAACCTCCAAATAGAACTGTACCCTATACCTTACAGCTCAATCAGGTGTCAAACTACCAATGGACAGTGGATGTTTAAGTACAGTTCCATTAGGTACTTTAAGTGGCTGCTGAGGTATATAGAGAGTTGATGTGAGCAATTCTGTTAGGTATTTGTATGCCTCCCGCCATATAGGTCTACCCACATCTATCCTGCCTTGTCATGTCTCCACCAACTTCAGCCAAATTACCTGGGTCTGGCCTCATCCAAAGACACAAAGTCCCAGGGTCATAACATGGAAATGGGATCCCCATCCTGTGACCATACAGATTTAAAATAAAGATATCAGTCTGATTTCCAGTGAAGCATCCTTTGTTCTTGTATTTGGGCCTGGGAAATATTTTCTATGTATTTAAAGGAAGACTAAAGTAAAGTCTTTATAAGCCTACTCCTTCTGAACAGTTGTCCATATTTCAACCAAACTTGCTATCCTAAGACAATGACCAGGGAATCATGTGTAGAAAGGCTGGTGGCCCTTGTTCCCCAATCACATACTGAAAGTATACGTAGAAGTCGAAGATGGAAGAAAAAAAAATGTAAGATTACTCTAATGGTTAAACAGACACTAGGTGAGTGGTCAAAGAATTCTAAATTCTAGGCTTTTTATATAATTTTCATTTAGGTATTTCTTTGTTATTTCTCCTTGCATAC